GAAAAAACCATATTTTCCCAATTTTTATTTTTATGAACTTCTGCCCAAGAAACTCGTCTCTCTTTTGCAATTGAAGTGAGGAATGGGATTTTTTTAGGAACACAAACTCAGTAACTAAGCTTCTAAAGGTTCTTACGGACTGTACGAGTAGCTATATTAAGATATAGTAAGTATTATTAAGAGTGTCTGCAATTTCAAAACTTGTTGCACCAGTACGCGAACGAGCGAGCTGACTAAGGTGACGCCGCTTTTTTGGACTTAAAACCTTTAGGCGTCCTGAACAACATCGTTGTTTTAAATTTTTGGTTTTTTTTAACTAAGATGACCACCGATACAGTGTCCTTAGTGGAAATTTGGTAATTTTGTGTAGTTCATTTACATTTTGTATTCCATTATTCCACAATGACTTAACTACCTCACGTCGTTCTTTAATAAAAATTTTTTGTGGCATTATTACATCATATCGGTCATGAAGTACTCTTATGTTCAGTTTTTTTATGCATGTTGATCAGTGTAATATAGTAAACAACCAAACAAAAAATTGGTTTGTGTTGTCCAATCAGATATGATGTAAATCATTATTTTAATCATATGATCGCGACTGCCATTTTTTTCCACCACTACTGTATTAGCATATAAATGAAAAATACAAACTAATTCATTTTAAATGAATCATTAAAAAATATTATGTAATTTAAGTTTTTTTTATCAGTTTTAAACAATCAAAATACTTCTAGAAATATAAATACTGCTAATATTATTGTAATATCCTTTATTAAAATAAGAAATAATCTTGAATTTCTTTGAATTAATACATAAATCTTCAAATATGACTACTATACCCTTTCTAAAGAAAATGAATTCAAATTTGAAATTTTATTAAGTTTTATTATCTAAAATGTGAAAGAATACTTAGTTAGTTTATAATATAACTTTAAAGAAGAAAAATTTCTTAGCAAAATTTCATTAGATTCATTATGAAAAATAAGAAAAATCATATGATTTAATCATTGTATTATTTAAACTTTCTGAACAAAGTTTAAGGAACATATGATTTTCTGATTTTAAAAAATTTCTTAGCATTTTATTCAGAAATATATTTTATTAATGATCATTTAAATTACTGTAAAAATAAATTATATATTACTGCATTATTATTTATATTTGACTAAAAATAATTGCAAAACACTTATTTTAATTTTAAATTTCATTTTCTTTAATTTTTAAATTTTGTTAAATATAAAGATTATAAAATTAGTTATATAACTAAGAATCTGAGAAATAATATTTAGAAGTATCTATTATATTAAACTGAAAATTTGTAAAAGTCATGAATTTCTTAATTTTCTTATTTTCATCTTTTTAAGTTATTAAACTTTTCAGACATTCATCAATTCTTCATTTTTATCTATAACTATTCAAATGATTTGACCTACTTATTTTTTATTTCTTTTTAATTTGCTAACTAAATATAAAACAAAATCTGTAAACTCTCTATACTTTATATTTATCAAATTTATTTCTTCGTATACTTATCTTCTTTTTTTGTGCATTCTTTTTCTTATTAAAAACAATCATTATATAAGTTCAGTATCTAATTTATAATTAATTTCCATTAGTAGTTTGAATGCTTTTAATCTTTTATAATAAAAAATGCATAAAAAAGAATTGTTTTTATCAATACTTTAATAGTAATATCTAGATTTGTAATATTTAAAGCTTAAATATATAATTACTTTTAATATTAATATTGAGAATCTTTGTAACTTTTTATTACTTTTTCTTCCTTTTAAGTATATTATTTCATAAGTATTATAATTTTTAGCTTTGACTTTAAAGGATTTGAATGGAAATGATAGATTAGTTTTATACAATCTGTAGAATAATATTTGATATTGATCAAATGTAAATAGAGATAAGTTTTAAATTATAAAGTTAAGCATATATAATAAATCTGCATCAGAAAAATCAGTTAGTTTTAGCAGATTACATTTTGAAATAAAGTCCTTCATAATTTATGAGAAATATATTATTCATTTTTAAAAATAAATTAGAAAAATAACCTTTTTACATGTTCAAAATTAGCTCAATATATACATTTTATTCTAAAAATAGAAATGAGAACTATTGTAGGATTAGTAAGAATAATAAATCACAAGTCACATCAATTTGATCTTTTTTTTTATTCTTGATCATCTTAATCTTTTTTCTTTTAATTATCTTTTTTATTACTTTGATTTTTTTTCTTTGATTATCTGTTTCATTATCTTAATTTTCTTCTTTATCTTCATTTTTATCATCTGGCCTTTTTTCTTCTGCAACTCTTCCTTTTTTTATAACTTTTTTATCTTCTATAATTCTTTTTTAAATTTGCAGTATATTAGGCTTTTAATTGCGTATTGCAATATATTAGAAAAAAATCATGTTCTTCTAAAAACTGCACAATTATTTTAATTAATAATTTTAAGTTTATTTTCTATGATTCACATATATAATGATTTATAGGTTTATTGAAATTTAGTTTATTCTTGAAGAAGGTATGATTAGACAATTGTAAAGATTTTTTTTTGTTTAGATATGATGTCTATTTTCAAAAGTAACTTCAGATCAATTAGAGCATCAAGCATTAACTCGAGGTCATGCTTAATATTATTAAAAAGATTTTCATATAGCTAATTAGAAAGTTTTGTTATGATTATTATGAAAGTTGTAATCTAAATCTGTAAGTGATAACGTGTAATAGGTTTTAGATAAATATTAACTCAAAATTACACAAGTTTATAGTTATAAGACCTGAAATCTGTTATATATTGATAGAAAAAGTGGAGCATAGATAAAAGTTCTAATGATCAGCAGGTTATATAAATTTTTATATAGAAATTCTATATATCGATTAGAAACTTCGTCTATGATAAAAGTTTGGATTGGTCATAATAATCCCTATTCAAATTTTATGCAACTATTCCTTTCGACTGTTCATAATATATTATATTATTATATCATAATATATCGCAAACATTTAAAGCTTCACTTAAGAGCGAAAATTGCAGTTTTTATAAGGTAAATAAAGAAAGAATTTACCATTTTTTTTTAAAAAAAAACTTTTACTAATATTATTTATTTTTTTAATAGTTTCAAACTAAAGGTATTTACTAATTATTTATACTTTGAAGTCGTTCATTTAAATTTATTTGTATATTTTCTGTTTCATTATTATTTAAAAATTCTTCATTTTCTTCTTCTCTTTCATTTTGATAAAAAACAAATATCATTTTTTGAATTTTAGAAGCTAAAGATATTTCTTCAAAAGATAACCCAGGTTTCAAATTATCTTTATAATTCTGATGTATTTTATTACTTTCTACAATAGACATATAATGAGAAAAATAAATAATATCATATAATTGTAAATTAGGATAAAAAATTAATGTTCTGTGATCTTTTACTTTATTAAAAGCTAATTCAGTTAATCTTCAAAAATCTGAAGAATTTTTAGAATATTGGTAAATAAAACAAAAGCCAAGCAACTTTTGAAGTGGTATTTATTATGTATTTTTAAAATTTTTTATTGATCATAAAAAATAAAATTAAAATAAATTAATAAAGTGTTGTCAAAATTATAATCACATGATTTAATTTTCAACTAATAAAATTAATTATCTAATTATATTTGTTAAATTTTACATTATGTGTTAGCAAAAATTAGCTAATCATTAGGACTTTTATCTATATTAAAAGAGGAAATCTAAACTTTGTTCCCACAGTGAGAACAAAAATATTAATATTAATAATTTTTTATTGAAATCTCAAAAAAAAAAAAAATTGTAATTTTTTATTAAAGTAGCATATTCTTCCATAATGAGAGTGCAAAGTGTGAATTGCTTAACTAAAAATCTCAAGAATACCTCATGTATTTGGTTAGGTGAAAGGTATCAAAAGTCAAGAAACATCTTGTATATTTGCTAGATTCTTTAGTCTATAACATTCAGAAGAAATATACCTTGTGTATATCTTTAAGAGCAATGTTAAAAATGGACATTCTTTTTGTATCAGTATTATCAAAGTGAAACTAGTTAGTTTTATTTTACATGAAACATTTTTCAAAATCTGTTATATATTTAGGAGGAATCTAAATTTTGATAAATTGGAATCTCAAAAAAAAATTTGTAATTTCTTATTATAGTATCATATTCTTTCATAATGAGAGTGCGAAGTGTGAATTGCTTAACTAAAAATCTCGAAAATACCTCATATATTTGGTTAGGTGGAAGGTATTAAAAGTTGAGAAACATCTCATGTGTTTGCTAGATTCTTTAGTCCATAACATTCAGAAGAAATATATTTTGTATATATCTCTAGAAGTAATAGTTAAAAATAGGCATCCTTTTCGCACTAGTATTATCGAAGTGAACCTAGTTATTTTACATAAAATATTTTTCATAAGTCATTTAAACCTTTTACTTTTTGTATCAAACCCACAAATATTACAATTAAGAATCTACGAAATAAGCAAATTTTGCATGATCTATTATAAGGGTTGAAAGTTTTGATCATTAATGTTTTAATTTATTTTTTTTTGAAAATATATTCATATCATATATTTATTTCAGGAATCTGAGAACCTTATTTGTATCACTGAAGACAAGTTCCAGCATAGATTAGTTGAAGGTTTACTCAAATTATCAAGTAACTCGAGAGCTCATATACGAATAAGAAGAAATAAATTATGGATCAAGCATTTGAAAAGTATTTCAACTACTCTATGATATTATGTTTACAGAAATAGAATGGTATTTTATTATGTATATTCTAGATCTGCAAGCAGTAGTGATTACAGATTAATCTTATGAAGTCTGCAATCAAGAAAATCCTGAATTACTTTGAAGTATTGTGAAGTATATCGCAAAAGATACAATGAATGATAAATGAATGAAAGCTGCCTCAATTCTAAATGAAAATGGAATATTAACTTACATTTATTTTAAATCTTGATTCAAAATAGTGAGAGGATAGAGAAGGTATTGAGCATAGTTAAAACAATCACCTAAGCGGCCAGGTACTGTCAGGCTAGTTATGAGAACTTCTTCAGTAGGTTTTATCTCAAGTCTGCATGAAGGTTAAAGGCACTGTTTCCATACCAAGAGTACTGTTCATTTGCAACCCTTGATGACTTGTTTTACTTTTTAAATTAAACTTTCTAAAAATCGAACTGGAACTAATTCCAGGCCAGTTTTAAGAGGCAGCTCAAAATTGAATTGTATCAAATTAAAGGTAATAATAGTTATTTGATAAGCAGTTAATAAATATTTTTTAAATTGATTATCACATGCTCTATTGTATAAATTTAACTTAATACTTAAAGTTTTAATTTACTTAAGAAGAGTCAAAGTAGAACTGAAGAAGAACTGAAATAGAACTGATAGAACTGTACTCATCCCTAATATCTGATCC